TCCCGGGCCCGCCCCCGCCGTGGAGAGGCGGTCGCCTGGCTCACCTGCTCTGGCCAATGGCTGCCGCTTGAGGGCTGGGCCGGCCTCCCCGCCCCGGGGCCCGCCTACCGAAGTGACAGCTGCGGGAGCGCGCGGCGGGCGCGGGACCGGCCGAGCTGGACGCGCGGGGCCCCGGCTGAGGCCGAGAAGAGGGGACGCGAGACCCGAAGGGCGACGGGCGGGGGCCGGGACCGCGACGCCTTCTCATCCCCAGGCGGCCCTGGTGCCGCGCACCTTCCTCTGACTGATCCCCGCTCCCCTCCCCGCGCCCCCAAGCCCGGAGACGCGGCATCGCGGACTGCAGGCGGGGAAACCACGCCGCTCCGAGGCCTCGGCAGAGGCCGTGGGAGGAGTGAAGTGTCCCGTCCTGACCTTTCAGAAAGGTTGGGGGGCCGGGCCGGGGGCGCGGGGCTGCCGCGGGCGAGGCAAGTGAGCAGCGGCCGCCGAGGTCGCTGTCAGCCTTGGTCTGGCTCCCAGGTCTGGCTCCCAGGTCCCGCCCGGGTGCCCACTTGTGCGTGCCTCCTGAGGGGGTCACCTGGGAGATCCAGTGCTTCCTGCCCGCTGCCTTTTGGGTAAAATGACCTTGTTTTTTACGGGGACACCGATGTCAGGTCGGAGGAAGCACTAGACACGTGGCCGTTTACAGGAAGTCCTGCCCGAGTTCCTACTGGCCTTCCTGCCTGGGACCTCGAACACATGGCTTCGGTCCTGAGCCTCAGTTTCCTCCTCTGTAAAACGGGGTCACTGCTAGTGCTCGCTGGGAGGGCCTGAGAACACCAAATGGAACGGGAAGGGGTGAAGGCGGCCCCGCGGGGGCTCACAGGGGTGGCGGGGACGCTCAGCAGCCCACACAGCGACACCTGCTTTTCCTTCCTGTGTCCATAGAATGAATTTATTCTAAAAGAAGTCTGCAGAAGTCAGCTGCGTGTGTGTCTGAGTCCTGAAATAGTTGGGGAAGGGGGAAATAGCCGAAGTGTGGCCTCGGGCTGGTAAGGGAGGGTGGCCGCAGACGGGTGCAGAGGGCTGGCTCTTCCTGTGGGGCTGGGGGAGGGGAGGAGGAGGTGCTGGGGCCTGTGGGAAGATGTCCCGGTCGGGTTATTGATGAAGCGCTCTTCCTTCAGGGGGCCGGGCGTATGTCTGCTCGCCCAGCCTCGGGAGTCCCTGGTGAGGTCCTTGGGGGGGCCCAGGCTGTCCCCATGCGAGCCTCCACTCCTGGGAGCCGGGGGTCCAGCTGCTCCTGGAACGTTGGTGCCGATTCCCGGAACTGCTCTGTAAGAGAAAAAGATCAAGTGTCTTGTCTTCGGTGGGGAGGGTCCCTCCGAGAGGATGGAGCTGGGAGCGGGGGCGGCCGGGGGTGGACGCGGGGGTGGACGCCGGGCGTGGATGGGAGCACACGCTGCAGCTGCCCCACGAGGAGACGGACTCGGCTGCTCCGTGAACCTGGCCTCAGGTGTGGAAGCTGCTGGGGGCAGCGCTTCCCAGTAGAGCCGCTGGGGATGCCTTCGATAGGTAGTGAGCTCCCCGGCGCGGGAGGCGTGTGGGCGGCGCGGGCCAATCCCCTCATGGGCTCAGCGTGAACGCGTTTCAAGCAGGGCGGCTGCGCGGGAGGCGGTGCTCCCGCGCCTCGTCTGGCATCTGATCCCTTGAGACGCTATGTGGAGTGTTTTTCCTTTGAACAATTCGTGTTTCACGGAAAGGATATATTTATTATTTTTTTTAAAAAAGGTAAATCCACGTCATTTCCATAGAGAAGTTACATAAAAATAGGTAAAAGAAAACAGAAAGTGGCATTAAATCTGGCCAAGAACGGCTGCCTGCCAAGGGCACCGAGCCTCAGGCCGCTTCCTGCCTGGGAAAGGACGCTGCAGAAGCCGTGGCGTCGCGGGGCGTGCCGGCCGCGTCCAGACCGGGCCTTCTCCAGGCCGGCGCCCGCGCTGTGGCGGGGGCAGGAGGAAAGCCTCTGGCGCTCGCCCTGTGACCCCGTTGTCTGCTGTCCTGCTCGGGCCCAGGACACATGGGGCCCCCGTCCACTTCGGGGAACACCGGCCCCCGCCACCCCAGGGGCCTGGGCTCGTGGCCCTTCCTCGCCGGCCCCACCAGACCCATTGTCACGTTGGGTGCGTGCCCCCAGGGACCTGCCCGCAGGACTGGTCCCCAGGCCCGACGTGAAGGGCGGATGGGGAGAGAATGTTCCGTCCTGTGCCCTGTGTGCCCTGAGACCACGCTGGGCACCTGCTTGCAGAGGCAGGCGCGAGCCCGGGGGTGTCCGGGGTGATGACAGGTCTGACCCACACTCCAGGCGCTGGCACAGCAGGGTCCGGCTGGGGCCTGCTCCTCTCAGCCAACTCGTCCCCTGTCTGGTGGTGGAGGAATTCGGAGGGGCAGGGAGGGGGCCCGAGCGGTCGGCCTGGCACGCAACAGCCCTTGAGAACGCGGGCGGCCTGACAGAGTGTCCTGGAACATTCTGAACTCAATAAGTTCTATCCCAGCGGGGTTTTGTCTGGAGAGGAAATAATTGAAAGAAAAAGAGAAAGAACCCAGGTCTCTGGGGGGGGGGGAGGGGCGCTGCTCCCGCTGGGGCCCCAGGAGGCTCAGACAGGTACATTCTTTTCATGGCCCGTCACCGCTTCTGCTGTCACCTTCGGAGGCGCCCCCTTAAGCTGATTGTGCAAGCTGTTCTGACACACCCCTTGCCCGCGGTCTCCAGCTGGCTTCCCGGACATCGCAGCTGGGGGAAAGCGTGTCTCATCCTAAGTCAGATGAGAAATGAGAGGCGGGGTGGGGGAGAGAGCCAGAGAGACAGAGAGACAGTTTCTCCTGGCCCTGGGCAGGCTGACGGCCAGGCTGGGCGTGCCCCCTGACCTCGATGCCCCGGTCTGGCGGTCTGGCCTGGAGACAGGACACCAGGCACGTTACCCAAAAATGACCTAGGTCGGCCAGCGACGGTGTACTTGAAGAATAATTAAAATTCTGTGTCGATGCAGTGTTTCGTGGTCATTTCTATTTTGCCGAGTTTTGCATATGTATTAGTTGAATCATGGGGAATAGCCAATGTTTTTCTCTTTTTGACCGCCCAGGATGGCCATTTCAAGCTAGTGGCAACTGACGTCAAGTCTCAGGAAGGGTGACAACGTGTTGGGAGCAAAGTCGAGGCTCTCCTCCGTGGAGTTTCTGGAGAAATTAAAACAAAAACCAACCAAACAAAAAAGATCTTAAAGTTCCGATCTCACCGTTTCGCACGAGGAAGGATTGTGCAGAAGGACGAGCAGACCCGGCTCGGGGCGGAACGGGGCTTCGCCCTCGGCTGCAGCGCGTGGGTGTGTGAGCGGTGCCGATGCGTTAGATGCTCGGGCGCGGGCCTGTTTTATGGGGCGGTCCGGGTGAGGGCTCAGAGCAGGCACACGGCTTATCGAAGAAGAGAAGCATGAGGTCAGGTGGCTCCCGGAAGGGACGTCTGGGAGGCCAGACCTCCCCAGAGGCAGAGCTTCGCGGGGGGTCGAGACGGTCAGGTGAGGGGATGGCACAGGCCACTGGAAGGGTCTTTGGAGCAAGAGTCCATGGATGACCAAAAGCACCTTGTCCTCAAAGCCACAGTTCCAGCCGGGAGGGGCGAGCCCCTTCAGAGCAGGGCGTGGGCTCCGAACCCCCCGTGGTCCCTTGCTGACCGCTGCCTGGGGCACTGCACTGGCTTCCCTGGGCCTCGGCGCCCCGTTCCCACGGCGCCTAGCCCCGTGCCGGGCACTCACGCACACAGCCCTCGCTGTGCCCCGTCACCGCCATCGGCGGTGATCAGGCCCCACCCCACACCGATTCGCCAGCCTCCCGTGGGAACCGAGACGGCGGCCTCACTGGGCTGGGGCCCTGGCCAGCTCTGTAAAAAGGCCCGGTGACCGCCCTGGGCACCAGCGACCTGCTAATGGCAAGAAGCCAACTCCAGGCCACAAAGGCCCCTGCTGTTCCTCGCTTTGTCTCCCGCCTCGAGGTGGCTCTCGGGAGACGAGGGGTCAGTTCCATCTCTGTCTTTTGCAGGGCACCTGCTGCCTTGGGGAATCTGGTTCCCCTGCACGGAGCGGGCCTTCTTGCAGACGCTGGCCGCCGGGGGTGCATCCTGGGGTTACGGGTGCACAGACAAATCGCACGGGGATGACGCGTGGTTAGCACGCCCGCACAGGCAGCCCCGCTCGGTGCTGCGATGGGGCATTGGGCCCGGCACGGCGGAGACCCCCATTCACACTGGGGCTTGTTCCCCCGGTGGTGGCTCAGGCTTCGTGCCTGGGCAGGCAGAGGTGTTATCATGTTCCTCTCAGAAGCCCCGACCACGGGGTCATGGCTTGGAGAGCCGGGTGTTGGGGCTTAGCTGCGGGGTAGACACAGGTGGACTTCCCCGCCTGGCTGGACA